CTGGGCCAGTTCAAGGAGCTACTAACCAAGAAGGGGAGCTACAGGTGAGAGAGAAGCCGCAGCCCTCGAGCGGACTTGCCCAGCATGCTATTGGCTCAGTGTAGAAGGAAAGTTTTCTGTCCACTGGTCTTTGATCTTCCCCTTCACCCCACTTCTCTCAGCCATGATGCTGCTTACTACTCTATTTGGGGTACATCAGGATTAGGTGGCACCAGGACCCAAAGCTGGACTAGCCCTCTGTTCTAGGCTGAGACCTCTCTCTCCCTTCATGTCAACCAACTCAAAAACTCCAATAGGAGATTACGGATACCTGAGTGACAAGAGAGCCTGTCAGCCCTACTGGTGTCAGCCCATGTGGGTGGCAGAGCTGCGGCCCCAAAACCCCTGCTCTTCCTGAATCAGAAGCCAGGGTTAGAGCTCCCAGGGCCTTTGTAGCGATTCTCATGCTATCATGCTATCAATATTAACTCAGCCCTTTGAGTGCTCCCAGCTCTACCCCAAGTATGGCTACTGCCCAGCAGGCACCAGCCAGGATCCTGGCTGGGGCAAGCCTGCCCTGCAGGGTAGTAGGACTTCCAGGGGTTCCAGGACAGGCATTCCTCTCCTGGAGGTGGCTTTTCTCACTGTCTCTACAATTTTCTCTCCCTAGATACTACTTTAAGAAAGTGAGTGACGAGTTTGACTGTGGTGTGGTATTTGAAGAAGTGCGGGAGGACGAGGCAGTCTTGCCTGTCTTTGAAGAGAAGATCATCGGCAAGGTGGAAAAGGTGGACTGAGCACTGGGCAGCACACTCAGAGTGCACCAGCACTAAGGTGCACAGGCATCAGCCAGTGGGCAGCCTTGTCCTTGGGAGCCTGATGTGGGCAACAGCACAGGATTGTGTCACAAGCTCTTGTGGGGGGGAGGGCTCAGGTGTCTGCCATACCTCTGTCCCTCTGTGTCTGGGAAAGGAGGGGGGGTTCCTACTGAGTGGTTCCATGGGTTTCTCTGTTTTGCTTTTCAAAAGGAAAGCCCCACCTACCACCCCCACATTACTCCCTGAAGCAATACCAGGAGCCATCTCATGACCCTCAGCAGCTCTTGCTTTTGAATGCAGACTGACCCAGGGATACCTTTACCTGGGCTTGTATCCCAGTGTCCTCTTCTCCCTCTGGGACCTATCTACTGCACCTGGTTGGGCTCAGGCCCAGGAGCAGGGGATCCTGTGGGGGCCTCTGTATATTGTACATGTCACACCGAGTGCCTTCAACATAGCTGTCTCTTGCCTGCCACTGTGTGAATCTGGCGGCTGAGTACCTCAGGCCCCTTTGCCTGTCTCCAGCCACCAGCTTGGTTCAGCAGGGTGGTGGGGGGTCTGGTCCCTTCTAAGTGTCCATGTAAATATGTATATTTCTCAGGCCAGGGCTAGCAGGGGGTACCCTGAGCCCATTTTTCATGCGATGACTTGTACAATTATCTTTTCAAAGGTACTTGGATAATAATGAAATAAAACAGTTTTTGAACCTGCCTTGGGTGTGTGATATACTATCTGTTGCCCTCCAGCCAAGCAGTGAAGGAGGCAAGCTGGCCTCTGTATGTGTTGCCCATTCTTGCCCAGGCAAGCCCCAAAGTCAGGAGCACAAGAGAAAGGTCAGGCCCCATAAGGTGCTGAGTTAGAAGCAAGTACCAGGGGCTAAGCTAGGCAGACCAGCAGCCAGCCCTGCTCATGAACCACACAAAGTCTGGGAAAACATTTTTATTCATAGCGCATGTCTCCCTCCAGCAACTGAGGACACCACTCCCTGGAATGCAGTGTCCAAATGGCTACAGCTCCTCCTTGGACCCCACGGTGGAATTGGCTTTTATTTCCTAGAAAGGATCACAGAAGCCCAGCTCAGACCTGCCTCTGCCCACTCTGCTGGGAGAGAACCTACTGAGGGGCTAGTATCCTGAATGGAGTACCACGGGGATGGAGACTGTAGGCTCCTTGGGCTCCTCAGGCAGGTCACCTCCACTGTCCAGGAACTTGGAGAATGTCTCTAGGTCCCTGGTGCTTTTGTATTCTATCACCTGAGGAGAAAGAGAAGGACCTGAGGGCATGCTCCCCAGCACAGCCCGATACCAGCCGAGCCAGCTTGGGAGCAGTAGTACACTCCCTACCCCATCCACTGCTTCACCTTCCGGTCTGGCCCCGCAGGGAAGAACTTGAGGGTGGGATAGCCATGCACAGAGAAGGCCTCCAGCTCATTAGCTGTAGCATCCAACTCGGCGATGACAATGTCCTCACGATCCCTGTACTTCTCTGCCAGTGCCTCCCAGGCTGGGGCCATCTCCTTGCAGTGGCTGCACCATGGGGCATCTGAGGGAGGAGTCAGGCTTGGCCAGCTGACATCCCACCACCACCCACCACCAGCAGCCTGCCACCTTCCCCTCTTCAGCACTCACAGAACTTGACAAACACATTCTTGGTTTCATCAAAAGCCACCTGTTCAAAATTCTTGCCCACGAGAGTCTTGACTGGTCGCTGGTCCCAGTCAGGGGGTATCTCCTGGCTCAGGAGGTAGGGCTGGAGAAGCAAGCAGTCCTCCACTGGGGTCCTGTGTAGGGCCAGGGTCCTAGGACTGCTGCTCCTTCCTCCCTCTAAGAACTACAGACCTTGACTTCCCCATGGAGGACTGCCTGGCAGAAGGCAGCCACAGAAGCTGCAGTGATGGGCACCACATCTGTAGGTGCATACTTCTTGGTGGTCTCAATATTGATCAGGCGCAGGGTTGGGGCTTCCTCAGCCTTGAGCCCAAAATAATTCAGCACATGGCCATTGTCAGCGGCCACATCCACCATCACGAACAACACCTACCAAAAGTCATACCAAGTTGGGATCTCCCTTAGACCTACCACTCCTCCCCCTGGGCCCCCCAGTACCTGCCCCCGGAATGGGGGAGCTGCCTCCCTGAAGTCTGTCAGCAGCTCCCTGTGCTGAGCTAGTGTCTGGTTCACAAACAGCAGCAGGTGGTTGAGGATCTTGGCTGCAAAGATCTTAGGTGATGTCTGGAGGGACAGGAAACCCATGACTTCCACTGGGCCTCTGTTCGAGGGCCCCCAGCCCAAGGTCCCTCAATCCCAACCAAGCCTCCCACTTCTGAGGGTCCCTCCACCCTACCTCACTGTGACCTGTAGCTTTACTTGCCTGCATGTTGAACTCTGTGACCAGGTGCATGCTATGTGTGATGAGGAAGCGGGACAGGTCCGCTAGGTCCAGGCCAGTGTCCTTGTCTACCGGGAAGTCGGCCCGACCCTCATCAAACTGGACACCAGCAAAGTTAGTAGGAGCTATGGCCCTGACCCCAACCCTGTCCTTAACCCCAACCTACCTTCTTGAAAAGGACCACAGTATCCTTGGTGAGGCCAAACTTCTGAAAGAGCTGTGGCTGGTCAGTGACGCCAAAGGTTATGTCCAGGGCATCCTTCGCTAAGGCCAGGAAGGTGGCCACATCCTCTGCCTGTAGGTCCTACAGACCCAGCCCCCTGAGAATGATGGATGCCACCAGTACTGTTCCCACAGCCTGTCTACCCCCCAACCCCCCAGTTTACCTGAAAGAAACCAATGACCACCACATCCTGTTTGGCTATCAGTGCCTGGACACCTTCCTCATCTTCCAGACGTGTGGCACTGGACCCCACTCGCCGCCTCAGCCACTCAGCAATGTCCTCAGCCTTCTTGGGCCCTGCAGAGATGTCTCTATTTCAAATGGACTGGACTCCTGCCCCATCCCTAGGCCACACCCACTCCACACCTGTGCCCTTGCCCACCCCCAGCCCTACCCACCTCATACCTACGTATTCTTCAGGGTCTGTGCGGTTCCCATTCTGGAAGAACTTGAGCGTAGGGTACCCTACCACGCCAAACTCCTTGGTCAGCTCTGGTTCCGCAGGCCCATCCACCTTGGCCAAGGTGACCGCAGCTGACTCAGCTGCCAGCAGGGCAGCCGCCTTGCTGTACTCAGGAGCTAGTGCCTTGCAGTGACCACACCAGGGAGCATCTGGGGGATGAGGCTGTGAGTGCACCAGTCCTCCACAACCCCAGCTGCAGCCCAGGTCCAACAGGAAGCACGTTCTGTTCACACCCTCCTTCAGGACCACCCTAGGCGTTGATCACAACCACACCTGGGTGCCAGACCCCAGACAACCCTTAGAGCCCAGAGTCAGTGAGGTTTGAGAGAGTTTGGAAAGAATCCTGCTTCCTCACTCCAGGGCCACATATAGCTGCTTTCTGAAGCCTACCAGCTAAGAATGGCTTGGACATTCGTAAAGGGTTGTAAGGAATCGCAGACACATATGTCATAGGACGCTGCATAGGCCACCCAACCTGGACACTGCCTTCACAGAAGAACCAGTGACCAGCTGTTTGGAACAGAGGCCCCAAAGGTAGTAACATCAGCATGTGGCCATGTTGACAGGAGGGTTATGGGCATCCACATGTCTTCCAGCTACCACTCCTTCCCACTCAGACTAGACCGCCACCAAGCCTAGCTCCACATCAGGACCTCCTGTCCAGGCACCCTCTCAGGGACACAGGGTGCCCACAAGAAGGCCAGGTCTAGGAGGTAGACGCCTCAACCCGCAGGCTAGCACCATGGTCCCCAAACTGCTGGTCTAAGCACTCACAAAACTCCACCATCAGGGCTGGATGCTCCTGGAGTGCCAGGCTCAGGTTGTGGTGGCTCAGGACCAAGATCCCATCCTCCTTGGGGACTTCTTCCCCAGGGGACTCCTCGGGGAGTGCCTCTGAGGGACCCTCAGGCTCCTGTCCTTGTCCCCATGGACCTGAGAAGCCCAGCAGGAGCAGCAACACTGGCAGCAGCAGATCCTCCATGGCGTGCTGGGCCCTGAAGGCTGGAGTAGATAAAGGGATCGGGGACCAAGCAGCAACAGCCACGTGGCACCTGGCTGGGTCTCGGGGAAGATAAAGCCTGAAAGGCCCCTCGGGGGCGGGGATAGGCAGAAAGAGGCAACACAGGGCAGCGAGACAGGGTCACATTTAATGGGCACCAGGCAGGGAGGCAGGACACAGCAGAGCGGGGGACATCAGGTCACCAACTGGGGGGTCTGGGGAATGCTTGCAGGTCCTTCTGCAACTGACAGAAACTGGGAACACAGGCCCCAAGTAGGTTCAGTCCTTCCAGTCCTGGCAGACATGGAGGCCCCACTCCCAGGACAGGTGGTCAAGCCTGTCATCATCGGTGAAGCGGGACCTGACCACGTAGAGGCCACGTGCCAATGCGCCCCTTGGTGCTTCCTCCACTGTCGTCACAAATTCATACTCCTGGGCCCTGGGGCCGTAGCTGCCCACCATGAAGATGGCCTTGTCCACTGTGGGGAGGAAGGTCATCAGGAACCACCCCTCCGCCCTCCCTTCCCAGCCCCAGGCTGCCCTCCATCTCACCACGTAGTCCCCGACGATAGGTGTGATGCAGACATTTGAGGCCACTGACAATCTCCTTGTTGACCTGGGGGAAGGAGAGTGTTAAGGGCCTTCTCTGGAAGGCTGGGGCATGGCTGGCTCCCTCCTGCAGCTGCCCTCACCTTGAAGGTGATCTTCACCTTGTATTCAATGCCCTCCTTCAGGACAAACACCTGGTTTTTCAGTGCAGCCAGGTCTCCTGTTAGAGAAAGCACGGGTGCACTCTAAATTTCCAGGACGCACAAGACCCTGCCTGCCCCAGGAATATCTCTGCAGGGACTGGTGGTGCCCGTGAAGTCTGTGTCAATACACCCAAGGAACTAGGATTCGGCACGGGGTCCTAGGATTGTCCTCATCCAAAGAAGGGCTGCGCTCTGCAGAGGGGGTTGGTTACCTGTGAGGTCCATGATGATAGGCCTTGGAGCCTGATCCGACAGCAATGTCAGCCTAGTCACCTGCACGTTGGGCAGGCTGGGGTCTGAGGAGAAACAGCATCCACAGGGTGCCCTGCTGACCCCATCTTCCCCTCCCCCTGCTTGCAGCCCTCCACATCCAGGCCCCAGGCCATACCCGTAATGAGTGGCAGGGGCCCCAGCAGTGCCTGCTTGTACTTGACCAGGCTCATGTCCTCAGGGTCCAGCTGCCAGATTGCCAGCATGCTCTTCTTCCCAGGGGCCTGGTACTCTGGTACAGTTTCGTCCAGCACTTCTTCTGATGGGATCGGCTCCCCCTCCTTGTCAGCCAGGAGGACTGGGAGTCGGGGAAGGTGTGTAAGCACCTGCCACCTGCTGACCCTGGCATTCAAGTGCTGAGCTGGGACCCACACTCTCAACCAGTTGTGCCTCCCACTGCCCAGTGGAGCTAAAGAAAGCAGAGGAGCTGTCACGGACACGCAGTGGCCCCTAAGTCCCTAGAAGTCCCTAGGCTTGGTCTCTTCAGGAGGGGCTCTGGTGACTAAGAGAGATTTCTAAGAGACCCTAGGGAGACCAATTTGTTTCTGGTCAGCTTACAGGCCACTGCTTAAGAGTAGTGGCCCTGGGGTACTCCAGGGGCTCCCCAGCTCTGTGCTCTTCCCATCATGTCCTAGGCCCCTCCGGTGATGCCCTGAACTAGGGGTCTCCATAGCCCCTTTGGGTGTCTTGGCCAGAGGTCTCACTGAGATGCTGCTCACTGCCCTCCAACCTTAGGATTGCCTCTCACCGGAAGGAGCCCCAGCCCCACCTACGGGAGAGGCCGCAGCCTTCAGGCTGGACACACTCCTTTCCTCCTGGCTCCCTTCCCCAGAAGGGTCTGCGTGGACTGAAGTCCCACGCCCGGCCAGAATCCACGCCACGAGGTCCCCACGAGCCCCCAAAGTTGCCGCGGGGACTGACCCCCAACCGCGCCGCTCCCTTGCTGCCCCCCGGCGCACGTGGCCGCCTCCCGGCCGGGCCACTCACCTCGGGCGCACAGCGCCAGCCGGAGCAGCTCCAGCAGCTGCGCCCCCAGCTCGCACGCGTCCA